CCCCCCCCCCCCCCCCCCAACCCGCTTCTGCCTCCTTACTCACGTCAATTCGGCAGTTTTGAAGATCGTAATCGTACCGCCGGAAGAGTACTCCGAAGGAACTATGATGAACATACGTATGCTAGTCGTGAAGTTCGATGAGGCGTAGATGAAAGCAGCGACCACGATCCGAGGATGATCGAACATAAAGGAAGCAGGCAAACCAAATAGCAGCCACCGAGACTAACAATTGATGCTGATATACATCTGAGTCATCCTCACCAATAAAGCAGCATGTACATATCAGCCGTCCTCACGTAACAAAAAAACAAAGACTTCTCCATCCAATACGTATCTCTACGCGGCAGTCAGAGTTCATCTTACTACCTAGTCGCCGGCAACGCCCCCCCCGCCCCACCCCCCTGGAATTCAAAACTAGAACACAACGGACTAGGAATGAAGGTCTGCCATACAAATGCATCCGACGACGGATGGTGCTGGGTCTCCGTTAACATGTCTGCCTCTAACCCTGAAACGGGACAGACGAGGGAGAGAGGGGTGCAGCGGCTGGTTCTACGTTGGTACCCCACAAAGAATGAGAAAAGGCCGCCCGGAAGAAGGGAAGAGGTGAAAGAATACATAAAAAACGCGACTGAAGCCACTCATCACTAACGATAAAACGGGAAAAAGTTCATAGAGCTACCAGTGACATTAAGGGTGGAAATCCATCCCAAGTACTTGGGCGCGAGTGCGCAGAGATTGCAGGTGAATATCACATCCCTCTTGCTGTGCTACTGCGAGAGAAAGTACGAAGGAGGCCCCGACGTCCAACCCACTCCCACCCACATTTCAACACTGCGGAGGGACAACAACGGATAATCCATTACCCGTGTAGCCGAACTACCTAGCATAGAATCTAGCTAGAACGTCCAAATGTAGAAGTACAATATGGGCCACGCGCAACAGACTAACACCGCCCAAAGGTAAAGCAGGAGACGAAATAATCTTATTGTAATGGAGCAAACCCCTTCTCGCGGCTACACGAGAAGGGAAACCACTAGTGTCACGGCGGTCTGACTGGGCGGGGAGAGTAGCAATGGAGACATCATGCGCCGGCGCAGCAGCTTAAATCGAGGCCAGCTAAATCACAACGTCGACTGGAACCAGAGTGTGCCAATGCCAAGCGTAAACACGAGAGAGATACAATGCCATGGGATACCACTCGCCTTTCCCCATCATCTTCAAATTACCCTACTCCCGAAATCACCGTCGTTCTGTACTCGGCCGTGCACCTACCTACCAGCAACATCATTTCACATAACAACCACTACGACCTACCTCAGCGAGAAGCCCAACCACGGAACGAGCACCCACTACCCAACAAAACACAAAGCGCAAAACGCAAGTTGAGCTGAAACCCCGACAAGGCAATCCTACACAGTGCAATCTCCTAGTAGTGAACACCCCGTGTGACCACCCGCCATCGCCGTCGTAGGGTTTGTCCTATCCCCGCACGCGTCAATTCCACGGCAAAGTCATCTACCTTCTTATTCAAGAAGGGAACACAAATGAAGTGCGACATTTGACGCACCACACCGAGGACGCGCATGGGTACTGCTAAAAAAGAATCGCGTCTTGTGCACAGCAGCCCGAAAATCTTGTTCACGCGACTTCTTTGCGGCAAGAGGGGCACTGTGAACTGTAGTTAAGAAGCAACGTGTGCGCGCAAACCCTGGACAGGGCAAAGGGGGAGGAGGGGGGGCGGAGAGGGGTTGTCGTTATGAAGGCGTGTTAATAATGTCTTACATTCCACATGACGACTCACAGGGACAGCCTCGGGAGTAAAGCAAACACGGTACGCCCTAAGCAGAACGTGGTATCGAAAACGATAAGACCAGTGGCGATAAGTACACGAGAGATGGCTTCGGGTTGTGCGCGATAATAAAATAACAATATATCAATGATGATGCCCCAACCATCGATCACCTGATAATGTTTGCACGGCGCTAAACGTGACCTCAGCGATATTCGCGTGCGGCGGTCCGGCGAACGTACACCCAGAACGGCCGAATGCAAGCAGGACTATGTACGATACGCGTTAAGCTTGTCTGGACGACACAATACACACACCGGGCAGATAATAAATGCATTCTTAATGTGCACGGAATCAAGAATGGGACCTAAACAAGGAGGACATACATACACCGGCCCACACGCTTACCAGTGGAAGACATGCCCGCAGGGAAGAGTTGTCCGGCCCTCAAAAGGCGTAATGGAGTCGAGGCAAATGGCGCAGTCGTCATACTTCTTGCGCTTGAAAGAAGTTTTACGCTTACGCTTCCCCTTTCCCTTCTTTTTCTGCTTGACCCTCCCGTCTTTAAATCCGGCGTCGTCCTCACCGCCCCCTCCACCCTCCTCGTCTTTAGCCTCCTCCTCCTCCTCCTCCTCCTCCTCCTCTTTAGCATCCTCCTCCTCCTCCTCCTCCTCTTTAGCCTCCTCCTCCTCCTCCTCCTCCTCCTTCTCCTCCTCCTCCTCTTGTTCCTCCTTCTCCTCCTCCCCTTCTTCCTTCTTCTTCTTCTTGTCCTCCTCCTCCCTCTCGAGGTCTAGCATGTACTGTAAGGCGGCCGTGTCGTCCTCCTCCGAGCTCGGGAGGACGGTAGTGGTGTACATGTCGAACTCCCACTGGGTGAGGCCTTTAAAATGCACGCGTACGGAGTGGGCGTAAATAATCAGCATCCCAGCGTGTAGCAGTTACTCCACCACGAGGGCCTTACCCAGACGTCAGGCGAGCGCGTACTATTTAGACCTTCGTGCTGGGGGACACCTGTATCCTCTTATCGAACTACCGTAAGCAAGTGCACCATTTTCAATCCCGGGGCGCACGCGGGAATTTAACAGATGGATGGCACGCAAGTGTACAGACGTTTTATCTATCTGGCTGGTGCACGCCCTTTATCCCTACAACGAATTATGGACGGAGTTACAAGACATGAACGACACGAGATACTTACTTCCTGTGAGGTCGGTCACGACGGGCGACAACGACTGCAGCCGCAGAATCTGCTCCTGGCTCAACGTCGGCGTCGGCGTGTCCATATCGAACTCGGAGTCGTAACCGGCTTGTGCGTCCCGCAAGCGCCTCTCCGCCTCCCTGGCCCGCCGGGTCGCCTCACGTGCTAGCCTCCTGCGTTCTATGTCCCTCATACCTTCGTCCACATGTCGTACCACCGCGTTGGTAGACTCAGGAGAAGGCGAACGTGAAGCACCTGCCCGAACAGCGTTGCCCCCGGCGAGGTCGATGACACTCGGCACCACCCGAGAGGGTCGCCTGTCCCCTGTCGCCTGCGCCGCGGGCCTATCGGAACCGCTGCTGTCATCTCCGGCAGTGAGCAGAAGCGGACTCCGCGAGGGAACGCGCGGAACGGCTTGCGCCGAAGGGCGCCCGTACTGCCGGGTGGTGGGAAGTACGGAGGGCGCCGGTCTGCTGCCGGGTTGGGGCGACGGCGAAGTTGTGCGTCGGCCCCTCGGTGGATCAGGCAGGACTTCGACAGTGGTCCGTTGGCGCCTCGAGGCGGCGGACCCGGGGAGCCTCAGTAGCGAACGCGGCCGCCTCCACGGAACCCGCGAAGGACCGCTGGAGGCAGCTCCGGTGTGATGGGCAGATCCGTCACCAGAGGACGAACCGCCGGACTGAATCTGCGCCTGAGGTGTGCCCTGGGGGCTGGAAGCATCAGACGCCGCAGCAGGCAGCTCGACGACTGAAGACCTAACCCCTCGCTTCGACCGGTTGAGGTTGAGTGCAGATATCATCATGTCTCTTATTTCCGACCTGCTCATTCTGGGCAAGCATGAGTCCGAACGGAGACCAAATTTTCGGGTAGGAACGGAAGCACACAACTTGTCAAAGCGGGTTTGTGCATCGAAACACACCACCCTTTCGATCGGCGTCGTCACCAAATATCCGGACGCGCAGGAGTTTGTCCACGGGGGTTGGTACCTGCTGTAGATAAGGGTTATGTATTTCGTACGTCGCGCCGGATGGAACCACTGGAGCAAAGCGGCGTTTGCAGAATGACGTCCGTTGTGTGGAAGAGGTCGGACAGGCCAAATCCAGTACAGTGAGAACTTGACTACTTCACCGGTTTTCAGCGTGAAAATATAACCCCAACTACCGGTGCGAAGCATCGTAGCTGGTTTGGCCGTCGGAAGACAGTATCAGGTGACCGCTGCCTGACGCAAACGTCGTAGCTTACACTCCGTGCGAGAGCAACGGGGATGATGACATTTGCTACGAGGTCGATTTAAGCTCGTGGCGCTCGTTTCTTGTTCCGTTTTTGTCGTCAACGGATACAATTTAAACTGCGGGCAGCAACAAATCACCCATATCGGGGCGCGATTGGCTGCGATACGTACGGAGCGAGGTGGGTATGCTGTTGCCACGTGCGGACAAGCCCATTTACGGCGTACGATGTTCTCCATTTAGCAGACTGCATTGTGTTGCAATTTGCGCGGGGAGGGACGGCCGTTCGAAAGACAAGACTAGCCCCAATCCCCAATACACCAATACTACCGACCTGCTACCCAACATGTTCCGTGCTCCTACCGCAGGCAACATCGACACTACCTCCAAACACGCTGCTGCGCCACGTAATGCCAGCGCGTCCACACACACATTTATACGTGCGTTATTCCTCTCACTTTTTAGGAGCTCGAACAGTCGTCGTCACTTCAGTCGTCGTTGTCGTAACTGTCGTCTTGACCTTGCGCTCCAGCTCGACTTCCTCGCTACCCAACCGTTCGTGGGCATCGTCTTCGTCGGAGTCGGTGTCATGAGAGACGACCGTGGTAGAGGTGCGACAGTGCCCCGGCCCGACTCCGCCGGTACCAGGTAAGTCATCGTCCTCCCTATCCCGACCACTACCACCTCCCCCGGCGCCTCCGAGCGATAGCATCATCTTGTAGACGGATGTGAGGCTGTGACGGGGGCAATGGGTTGAGCAAGTTGTGGTCTTGGGGGCGGAGACAAAGCGGCGGAAAGAGAAAGATATGTGGTGCATGTGACAATGTGCGGTGCCATTTCGCTCGCTAGACTGTGAGATGCGGGCCAATAGCATCCAACCAAGACAGGCGCGTGGTTCTGTGATTACCGTATATGACACAAGATAACACACCCCCTGGACCGATTTTCAAAGCTCGATTACTCCACGACGAAGAGGATGAATAAACGAAACAATACGTTTTCGAACAGCTCTCGACGAGACGGTTCCAACGCCGCCGTTTTAGGCGCTGTGACTCTTCCTGCTGTTGAGAAATTGAGCTTTGAAAATCGGCCAAGGGGGTGTGTTATCTTGTGTCATATACGGTACTTTCGGCAGGTATCTCTTTTTCATCAATATTACAATGACCCAAGGCACCCATCTCTATATTACCCTACTGCACCAGCTGGCATCACTAATATTAATCATCAGTGTATAGAAGTAAGTGCAGTACCCAGCCGTCTTTCATCAACTCTACCACCAACCACATCCCGTTCGACCACGGCGGGTATATCTAGAATGGTACTCTTCAACACCGCATTATTTTATTTTCAATACAAGTAGCTAAATTTATATTTCAAGCACATGCGCATGCATCAATTTCCCCTCTACCACACCACATCTGGCGATATTTCACCTAACACGGACGATGACGAGCTATGCACCCGCGACCGTCAACACGCTCGGTAGTGCAGTACCCCGGACCATGGTCCTTTCTGTCTGCACGCGGGAAGTCAATTCGTTCAGGTGTGTGGTTCGTTCGCGCCAGACGTTCAACGACGACCTGGACGGGAACACATACTAGATACGTACGTATGTGCAAGAGGATGCTCTAAGAAGAAAATAATTTATCGTGTACAGCGCGTACGCGTATGAATACCATGCAAGAGACGCCCAGACGCCTGCAACACTGCTGTCGTCGTGGATCTCCCCACCCCCCTTCATGTGCATAGTACAGTAGCACGGGATGCCCTTTCGCCGTTCCCATCGGGTTACCCCGTGCCTATGCGCCTGTCGTCCCCAATAAACCCACGACGTGTGCTGTACGATCGTAGCCGTTCTGACTTATCCAGCCACATTCCTCGGGCGGGATAACACGACATCTAGGAACATCTGGATCACGCAAATCCCATGTTGCTGGTATGCGCAGAGAAGAGAACCACAATCTCTCAACTGCTGTCAACGTCGTGGCCTGCACCAGCAGGCTAGACGACAGTGGGCTAGTTAGCCTTACATGACGTACTACGCTTCGTCGCGTATTGTGCCAAGCCATGAACGCAGACCCGAACGAGTATCGAGCGCGGAATGTGAAAGGGATACTGCTGCAACGTATCTCAAACCCTTTTTTAGGCTATTAGGAGCGGAGAGCACCAATCACCCTCCCGCCCGGGGTGCTTCGAGGCACGACCGCAGTAGGTGGTAGACTCACTGTACGTTTGGACAAAGACTTGCCGAACAACCACGATCCCGCGTAGGAATAGATGATAGTCGGGCTACGGCGGCGTAGCCTGCGTGCCACACAGGAGATTGTACTTGGGAAATCGCTTTCCATTTCAAGTCGGCAGACCGCTGTTGTTCTGTCTCACACACTGGCAGACCCAGGAAGGGAATTTGAAGGCACCGAGAAAGAAGCCGCCGAGACAGATATAACTTGGCGTCCGCCAATCAATTGTCTACAAATACTGGCGTTTACTCGGCGTCTTGCCTGTTTTCGATGAGCTTAACTGACGCATACCACACGCCCACACACGGCAGGATAGCAGCAGTACAGGCCAACTGGAATGTATGTGCTAGGAGGTCCGCAACGTCAATCCACACTGAGGGTCGATGACGAGCACGCTGGAGCTACAGCGAGGAGAGGGAGGTCGCACACACACGTACACGCTAGTATCTGTGCGGTGTCCAACCGAACGTTGTAGGCACAAGGTATGGTCTGACAGTAAGACGCCTAGCGCCTTTCCTGTTTCATCGAGATAACAACCTGGTACGTGTGGTCGCACTCAAATCCACGATACCTTGAAACCGAGTAATCGCATAGTCTAGACGATAGCATGTAAACGATAGTCACAGCCAGCCTTCTGAGATAACCAGGGTGTGTGTTTCGTGACCGAGGTAGGAGGCGATCAATCATACATGTCGGGACCCACGCGGTGTTATCACAATTGTCGAACTATGTCAACAAGGAGGGAGGGTCTGCGTTGAGTCGACGTCGTTTGATAATGGCACAATGCGTCCGGCCCGGAAATACACCCTCGTGCTACATCGTGGGTTTATTGCATGACAGCACAGCATGTTATGGCGATGCGCTTGTGTATCGTGAATGCCGGGGATGTCGCGCTACCCCTCCCCCCTCGAAGTCGCTAACTACTTCTGCTTTGCATCGCTCCATTGTTACAATGTCTCGTGTGCCGTTTGTTCGCCGTAGAGTCGGCGGTGCCTTTCAAACGTGCTTAACCATATTTTTTTACGTTCACGTAAGTAAGCACATCACGTATCAGTCCAGACTGACTCACGCGTTGACGTCATTCCTTTATTGTGCCGCCAGACCGTAGATAATATAAATATGGTCGTCCTTGTAGTATCTTTAACTTGAAAGTAGAGTACCCCCGATTAGGCCATATTAAACTGATACTAATATCAGGGACGTGGCGTTGGAACCGTCCCACCTACGGCTCGCCGAAAACATATCGTTGTACAGTATGTAGTAGTAGTAGTAGTAGTAGTAGTACTTTCCCGACAGCGCATTTTTTGTATTGTGGGTATGGAGTAGTTGTCGGTGCGACAAACTTGCTCATTGCTTTGTTCCTTTTTTTCGGTTGCCCATGTATTCGCAGAACAGAGAGTTCGTCCCGACCTCCTGTGAGCTCCCCCTTTGTTTTAGCCGAGGAACACGATGTTTTTGGCGCGTTTGTGTTTGGCCGAAAAACGGTAGTTCTTGCACAGAGATACCCCGCCTAGTTTCACTACACGGAATAGTGTACAAACAGTAGTTCCTGCACAAAACCCAAGATGACTCTTATTTCGGTTTATCCCTATGGGGCCCAACCACGCGGTATTGTTACAATTCGAACTAAAAACAACCCGCATAAAGACTACACGTTCGAGTTGGGAAGTATACTATACTACTATACTCTCCTCTTCCCTTTCCTCCTTCATCGGGTCACACTCCTTTTTCTTCTCGGAAATACAGTAGGAATGGATAAAGTCGCTATGCTTACTTTCGTAAGTAAGCTCACACGAGATAAGTAGACATTTCGGCTCTCGCCACCACCAATGCAGGAGGATGATTTGGTGACGGACGCGTCTTGCATGGGGCGAATGCGTTGAACACGGAGTTCTTTGGCATTGTTGCAGTCTTCAACCCCCACCACCACCCGAAACGACATGGTCGAGAGGTCTCCAAGTATTGTACACGCATATGATTCATGGTGTTCAACCATTGCGCTGCAGCACACGTCCGCCGTGCTCCCAGACCCACTCGACATCTAACACCTTGAGCCCCCGCCGACCCACCGCAATCGGGGGGGGCGATGCTTCACCCTAGTACGTATTAAAGGTTGACCTGCACGTTGTCTTTTCGCAGCAGGAGGAACACGACCTAACAATTACAGCAATCCATCACTCGTTTGCCAACCAGCAGGGGGCAATGGCGCCGACAGATAAAACTCATTGGGCTCACCACCGAGGAACTCGGCCTTTGGACACAGGGGGGGTCGGGCACGACTTCGGCTGTACAAATACATCAGAGGGATGCCGACCGGACGGCGGAGTTTGGCG